CTAACCACGCTCCACTGCTCATCAACAGCTCAGGTTGTAGAGGTTGTCAGCGCTGCGTGTCCCGAGCCCGTGACATCATCAATGACCCCCCACCCCCCCACCATGGACTGTTCTCTGGGAAGAGGCTTCCCAGCATTCAATGCAGGACCAGCAGGTTCTGCAGCAGAACCCTTCAGAACCTCTGAAGAACGACTCCATCTTTAATGAACCAACATTTTATTTGTTTTCAAACAAAGAATAAAAAGAACATTTTTCTGCTTAAAGATGGAGATCCTGTCAGTTTAAACGCTGATAATCCATCAAATGGACCCGGTTGGAGAACCCTGGCTGAGATGGTTCTGCTGCTCCGGCATCAGAGCCGCCGGTTGATGATGGATTCTGAGTCAAAGATATCAGAACCGCTCATGTTGGACCTGTGATCAGACAGATGACTGAAGTTCTGATGAGCTGCTTTTCCAGATGTTTGAACAGAACTTTTCCCTTCGTTTGTTTCCCGTTTAGTCCACTTCCTCCGACCCACTTCCAGCTCCAGGCGCAGCCTCGATGGGTTCTGGATCTCTGGGAGACTCCGGCTGATCCAACGGTTCTGGCTGAGGCTCCTCCATGGGTTCCTCAGCTGGTTCTGGAGCCGGTGTGGGTTCCTCCACATCCTTGGTCAGATCGTCCTGCAGAGAAGAAAACAGAGTGGAAAGAAACCGGACCCTCTAGTTCTGGTCTCACAGGACGGTGGGACCAGAACCTAGGCGGGTTCTGGTCTGACCAGAGGCGGGTTCTGGTCCCACCAGAGGCGGGTTCTCCCTGATCCACATCATTCGGGCTTCTCTTCATCACCCCGTCTCACACAGAAGCTAAACCACCATCATCATCATCATCAGCCTGGCGGCGTTTCCGTCTGCTAAACAGCTGCTGCAGCAGCTCCATTTCAGAGGCGGGGCTTACAGCTCTGACATCATCAAGGTAGAACCAATCAGGTAATTCAGATGGAAAATCTCAGCGATGCTTAAAGTTTTTTTTTTTAAGTCAGTCCAACGATTTCTGCTGGTTTTAGCGTAAAGATCAGAGGGTGGTTCTGGTTATGCTAGCACACAAGCACTGCTGCATTATGGGTAATTCTGGAGCTGCAGCTTAAAGTCCCGCCCCCTGTACTGTGATTGGTCCAGCCTGATCTGGGCGGAGTAAACGGCGATTGGATGATTGATTCACTGATTGATTAATTGACCCGGAGACGCCGATCAGTTCTGATCAGGACTAAAAACTCCCCAAACCTCAGATCCAGATCAACCAAAGCTGAACCTCAGCAGAACCGTCTCGGTTCTACAGACGGGCCAAACAGAACTTCCAGCTCGGACCGTAGAGATCTCAGCTTCTGGTCTCTGAGGTCGGACCTCAGGCCTGAAGGCTGACCTCGGGTCGGGTCCTACAGTCAGTTTGTAGAAGGTCCGTTTTCTGGACAATCTGCAAAACCTACCTGGGAAACAGAGTCCAGAGTTCCATCCAGGCTCGTTGGCTCCGCCTCTTCCTGCTCCATGGGTTCCTCTTCCTCCTTTAGAAGAACCGCTTCCTGCTGATGGCGAGGATCCGGCTCGCCGGGCTCCATGACAGGAGTTTCTGGATTTGGAGCCGGTTCCGACTGGAACATTAGAAGAGATGAGCGAAGAGCAGAAACCTCCGGCTGCTTATCAGAGCGGGTCGGACAGAACCACTCACCTCCTGCCCCAGGACGGCCTCCGCCGCCTTGGGTTCTGGTTTCTTATGGGCTTCCAGAACCGCCATGATGGAGGTCGGGATGTGAGCTTGCTGTTAGAGACAACAGGATGGTCAGGACCAGGAACAGAGCCAGGCGGGGGCATCGGTCAGGTCCGAGTCTCACCTGATGCGGCGTGAAGGACAGGACGTGCTGCAGGAGCGGCGTCCTCATCTCGGGGCAACGCTCGAAGACGGCGCTCAGCTGCGGCGGCGGCAGCTGCAGCAACACGCTGTAGGACTGAGGCTTGGTCCTCTGGCAGCACTTCACGAAGCCCTCCCACACTTTGGGATACTTCCACACCTGTAGGACAGGAGGACACGCTTAGGACGACCTGCGGGACAAGCTGCGGGACGCCCGGAGGACGAGCTGCGGGACGCCCTGAGGACGACGCCCAGGACGCCCTGAGGACGACCGGCGGGATGTCTGGAGAAGGACTAGTGCCTGAAAAGACGATGCAGACCTGCTTGACGATGAGGCGGGACAGGATGTTCATGACGAAGCCGCCCAGGCGGGGGTACATGGTGAGGGACTGGATGACGGTGCGCATGAGCAGCATGGGGAGCGGACTGTGCTCCATCAGCTGCTGCATCACCACGGCCAGAACCTCCGAGGTGTAGACGTTCTTCTCAGCAAAGCACAGGTTGGTGGCTGAAAGCAGAAGGAAACATCTGGCTGAGATCTACAGCTGAGTTACTGAGAAACGCTGGCATCTAGTGGTGACGCTTCAAACTGCAGCTTCTAGGTTCCCTTCTTCTCCTCAGTCAGAGTTCGGTTCTAACCTCTAAAAACTCTATATTCCCTCTCCAGCTGGATCCTGCTCCGTGGTTCGGAGCAGGATCAGAACCCAGACCGATCTCAGGGGTCGGTTCTTAGCTGGGACCAGTGAAGTCCAGTTGGGCTCAGCGACGCCGCCCACTGGAGGAACACTGACCTTTGATGATGGACTTCATGTCACACTTGTTGGAGTCGATGTTGTGCAGAGCAATGAGCAGGTCTCCTGGAGTCAGAGGAGAAACCGAGGAGCTTCCCTCACCTGTGGAGAATCCATCAAGGAGCAGAGGACTTTAGTGGGGGGGTGGGGCAGCACAGGCTCCCCCTAGTGGCTGATTTTATTGATTGATTGAAGATTGATCTGATTAAAACTAAGATCACTGGCACCAATCTAAATATTATTGGTTTAGAAAAGCTTCAACATTTTGGAGGAAGTGGAGGAAAAAGGACTGAGCTGGTTTACATCTGAATATTTGAACTAAAAACGTAGAAATTTCCTCCTTTCATCTGAGGAACATTGCAGAAATGAGCAATCTCCTGTCCAGGGGTGATGCTGAGAAACTAGTCCATGCATTTGTTACTTCAAGGCTGGACTATTGTAATTCTTTACTATCAGGAAGTCCACAAACTGTAGTTAAAAGCCTTCAGCTGATCCAAAATGCTGCAGCCAGAGTTCTGATGGAAATGAAAAAGAGAGATCATATCTCTCCTATCCTGGCTTCTCTTCATTGGCTTCCTGTTAAATCCAGAATAGAATTTAAAATCCTCCTTCTCACATATAAAGCCTTAAATGGCCAAGCTCCATCTTATATCAGAGATCTGATTGTTCCTTATGTTCCTAACAGAGCACTTCGCTCTCAATCTGCAGGTTTACTAGTGGTTCCTAGAACTTCTAAAAGTTGAATGGGAGGCAGATCTTTTAGTTCTCAGGCTCCTCTCCTGTGGAACCAACTACCAGTTTTAGTCCGTGAGGCAGACACCCTGTCTACTTTTAAGGCTAGGCCTAAAACTTTCCTTTTTTAAAAAAGCTTCTAGTTGGAGTGGCTCAGGTTATCCTGATCTATCTCTATAGTTCTGCTGCTATAGGCTTAGACTGCTGGAGGACATAGGGACCCCTTTTTCATCATTCTGCTTCATTCTATCTCTATTCTCCCACTCTGCAGAATCTGTTAGTTCAATCTCTAACGTTCTGCTCTCTCTGCTTTTTCTCATAGTAGCTTCATCTGGTCTGTTCCTGTTTGGCTGTGACTCCATCCTGGAGAGAAATATCAGCTGTGCTGCTGCCATCAACACCTTTGTTTCTAGATGTTGGAGCTTGGCCTGTTTTCCAGTGTAGTCCTGTTTCTCTGACTGTGACTAACTGGATGTGCTCTCTTCATCCTCTGACATGGGAGCTGGCTCGGAGCTCGTCTGGTTAACCCTTTCTTTCCCAGGCAGAGCTGCCTGTTGAGCTGGTTAAACGTTAGCTTTTCTAACATAGAAAGTGTTTATAGATCTGTGATTCTAGTTTGTGGGCCTCAGCATCATAGACTACCTGCTCAGTGACTGATTGCTATAGAGTCAGTATCTCATCTCTGTAGCTGCTCATCAAGTAAAGTCAAAGACTGGATGATCTGGTTGATCTGGATCTATAAAATGAGCTGAGATGAATCAGGGCTATAGAACCACAGCGAGTAGAAGTGTAGAGGCGTCCTTACTGTGCTGAGTTCCCAGCAGTCTGTTGAAGACCTCCTTCACCACGATGGGGTTCAGCTTGATGAGTTTAGGCAGAGCCTGGATCACTTCACTCTGAGACAAACAGAACCAGTCCATCAGAACCAGAACCAGCAGCTGGACCCAGAAATCCGCGGACAGAACCTGACCTTCTCCAGCCCGTTGATGACCGGGATCAGGAAACGCACGTCAGGAACCCGTTTATGGTAGAGGTCTCTGACCCGCTCCACCAGCTCCGGAGACGGAGGCACTGCAGACAGGAAGCACACAGAGGCCGGTCAGAACCAGTGATTCTGCTGCCGGGTCTGGGTCGGGTCGGGTCGGGTGGGTTCTACCTTTGTCGGTCAGAATGTGCAGACAGCGGGTCACCAGAGTCTCGGCTCCTTTGGGGCAGTTCTCCACCAGGAGCAGCAGCTCAGGAGAGTTCATGCCCATTCCTCGGATCTGCAAAGAGAACCAGAACACATCAACCAGCCGGGTCCCGTTCCAAAGGAACCTGAACCGGACCGCCCCGACCACCACCAGAACCAATCAGAACCAGCAGGGGGAGCTCCAGCCGAGGCTCTCGCTCTGCTAGCTGCTCCATCTTCACCGACGGTGGTCAAACAAAACAAGGAACCAAACAGGAAATAGGTTCTGTTTCCTCATAACGGACCAGAACCACACCGACCCGGATCATGGCTCTGCTGGAACATCAAACCGGGTCGGTCGCGTCGAGGACTAAGGCCTCCATACTTGGGTCATGGAAAACTGGGTCCAGAACCTTCACCTGGACCCCAGCATCATGGAACTGGGTCCAGAACCTTCACCTGGACCCCAGCATCATGGAACTGGGTCCAGAACCTTCACCTGGACCCCAGCATCATGGAACTGGGTCCAGAACCTTCACCTGGACCCCAGCATCATGGAAAACTGGGTCCAGAACCTTCACCTGGACCCCAGCATCATGGAAAACTGGGTCCAGAACCTTCACCTGGACCCCAGCATCATGGAAAACTGGGTCCAGAACCTTCACCTGGACCCCAGCATCATGGAAAACTGGGTCCAGAACCTTCACCTGGACCCCAGCATCATGGAAAACTGGGTCCAGAACCTTCACCTGGACCCCAGCATCATGGAAAACTGGGTCCAGAACCTTCACCTGGACCCCAGCATCATGGAACTGGGTCCAGAACCTTCACCTGGACCCCAGCATCATGGAACTGGGTCCAGAACCTTCACCTGGACCCCAGCATCATGGAACTGGGTCCAGACTGGTACAGGCTTCCTGCAGCATAAGGCAAGTTAAATTCAAGACTTTTTTAAGACTTTTTAATGCCGCTTGAAATAAAAATTTAAGACCAAATTCACAAGAAACACCAGAAAAACCTGCTTGCATCAACTTAACCCAAAGGTTTATTCTAACATAAACTCTGCACTAATGTTTTAAATGTTGAAAAGCTTCCCATACAGGAAGAAAGCTAAAAACACACAAATGACAGAAATATTTGAACATTTAACTGAATTCACAAACTTAGTTTTAGTTTCAGTTTTAAAGCCCCAACATAACCAGCGCCAAGTCTTTCTGCAGCTATTTTTCTTTGTATGGTTTTCTATGTTTAATTTGGTGATAATGGAGGCGTTGCAGAGACAAGGGTGGAACTAAACTGAGAAATACCGGCTGTTTCTCTCTAACTCCGTTCTGACGCTTTGTGTTTCGTGCTTCGCATGCGACTCCGCTGCCTTAATCCCATCGTTCTGAGCTTGAAGGACTTGTAGCATAAATCCACTGAGCCTCATGTTTGTTCCCTGGTTTCAGCCACGGAGGAAACTCTCGGCTGGAGACGATTATCGTCACATTTACACTTGCTCAGATTGTCCAGACAGAAAGTTAACGGTGCATCTCCCAAATGTCCCGGCAGCAACAACGCTTTATTGGTTCCGCTATCGGGACGGAACCAATAATGGCGAGCCGTTATTTTTTTTTAAATAAAAAAAAGGTAAATTTTAATGTTTTATTTAGATTACAAAAATAAATCGTAATAAAAATAATCCTATTTATGATGTTTTAAAAATTAAGACCTAAGAAAGACTGATTTAAGACATTTTAACACCAATTAAGGCCTTAGATTTATTTTGAGGAATTCAATGCCTTTTACGACTTTTTAAGGACCCGCGGGACTGTGGAGGTTCTGGGATAGAAACCGGACCGGTAGCGCCTCCTGCTGGAATCTTCTAGAACTCACGGGCTGCTCGATGGCGCGGAGGACGCTGCGCTTGATGTCTGCGATGGCCTCGGTGTAGACGGACGCCAGCTCGTGGACCAGCCGGTGGTTCAGAGGGAGCAGGGACAGGTAGAGGAAGAGACACTGTCTCACCGTGTCCTCCGTCCACGGAGCCGCCACCTCTGCAGACACAATCACACGTCAGCTTCCTGCAGCCGCCCGGCGGGTCTGAGGACACGGAACAGAACCTGTGTCTTTGTCGGCTCCAAACAGCAGAGACGGCGGGTTTGGGTGAACGAGGAGCTGCAGGTAGTTCAGGGCAAACTTCTCAATGTAGTCCCTCAGGTGGTCCTTCTCATACATCCGCTTCAGGAAGGACAGGGCGGTGCTGCGGACCTGGAGGACAGACGCGGGACGGTTCAAAGACGGGACCAGGTCCGTTTAATGGAAGCGCCGCCAGCAGCCTCACCTTCTCCTTCTCATGTGAGCTCAGGTCCAGAAGAACATGGAGGTACTGGAACTGTCTGGACGGCCTCTTCACGATGAGCTCCTTCAGCGTCGTCATCCCCAGATAGACCCGCGACTGAGAGAGAGGTCAGAGGTCAGCGGACATCCTGGGGGACACCATGGAAGAGACGGGGTTCCGTTACCTCGTCCTCGCAGTACCGCCGAATCACGTCCAGCGCCGACTCGGTGATGATGGGCGCCTCCAGGACCAGCTTAGTGAAGAGTCTGGGAGAGAAACAGAGGTCAGAGTTCACCCAGGCAGTCCTCCACCCGACCACAGGGGGCAGCGTCCAGATATGGACCAGAACCTTCCGGAGCTTCTCCTCCGCTAGCAGCTGTTAGCCACACCTCCAGCCGCTGTCAGAGGAGAAAACCCACTGGGAAGGAAGGAGGGAGGAGCAAACAAGGAGGCTGAGGAAGGAAGGAGCAAAGGAAGGACAGAGGGGAGGCAGAGGAGGTGTGGTCCTCACCCGTCCCTCTGCTCGGGCTTCTCCTGCAGACCCGACAGCAGCGTGTAGAGGCAGTGGTCGTAGCTGTCCAGCAGGCCGGCGGGCAGCTGGCTCAGGTAGGTGTTGTACTCCTGGTAGAGCAGGGAGAAGGCCAGCTCGCTCCTGGTCCGGACGTCCTCCAGAACGTACTCCAGGACATCCTCCTTCATCACGCCCTCGAACTGGGTCACCAGCCTGGAGAGGAGCTTCACCCGGACCTGCAGCAAAGAGCGACCGACACCCGTCCTGAAGGAGGCGCCATGAAGGCCTGATTCTACAGCTGGCCATCCTAGAACTACATCAACCAGAAGCCCACCCGTCCCAGAGGTCCTTACGTGGGACATCCCGCTCTGCGTGATGGCCTTCTCCGACTGGAGGATCCGCTTCACCGCTTTGGACGACAAAAGCCCGATCTGGGAGTCCGACAAAGGCTGGACCACGTCGGCGAGTCGGAACACCTTCTTCCTCCCGACGGTACCGGTGCTCCTGCAGGAGAACCAGGAGGGTGAGGGAGGGTCTGGAGGAAAACCAGGAGGGTGAGGGAGGTTCTGGAGGAGAACCAGAAGGGTGAGGGAGGGTCTGGAGGAGAACCAGGAGGGTGAGGGAGGGTCTGGAGGAGAACCAGGAGGGTGAGGGAGGGTCTGGAGGAGAACCAGGAGGGTGAGGGAGGTTCTGGAGGAGAACCAGAAGGGTGAGGGAGGGTCTGGAGGAGAACCAGGAGGGTGAGGGAGGGTCTGGAGGAGAACCAGGAGGGTGAGGGAGGGTCTTGAGGAGAACCAGGAGGGTGAGGGAGGGTCTGGAGGAGAACCAGAAAGGTGAGGGAGGGTCTGGAGGAGAACCAGGAGGGTGAGGGAGGTTCTGGAGGAGAACCAGGAGGGTGAGGGAGGTTCTGGAGGAGAACCAGGAGGGTGACAGAGGGTCTGGAGGAGAACCAGGAGGGTGAGGGAGGTTCTGGAGGAGAACCAGGAGGGTGAGGGAGGGTCTGGAGGAGAACCAGGAGGGTGAGGGAGGGTCTGGAGGAGAACCAGGAGGGTGAGGGAGGGTCTGGAGGAGAACCAGGAGGGTGAGGGAAGTCTGGAGGAGAACCAGGAGGGTGAGGGAGGTTCTGGAGGAGAACCAGAAGGGTGAAGGAGGTTCTGGAGGAGAACCAGGAGGGTGAGGGAGGGTCTGGAGGAGAACCAGGAGGGTGAGGGAGGTTCTGGAGGAGAACCAGGAGGGTGAGGGAGGGTCTGGAGGAGAACCAGGAGGGTGAGGGAGGTCTGGAGGAGAACCAGGAGGGTGAGGGAGGTCTGGAGGAGGCTCACTTGGTCTGTGCCGAGGGGAGGATGGGCTCAGGGAGCCTCTTGGCTGCAGGAGCTTCAGAGGGAGGAGGCTTCTCTGGGTAACCTCCCACCACGGAGATGGCCTGGCCCAGAACAACCGAGGACAGTTTGCGTTTGATCAGAACGTCTTTGGCAGCAGAACCGTCCTCCGTCTGCTCCTCTTTATCCGCCTCCTCCTCCCGGGCCTTGCACTGTTCCAGACCTGGGGAGTAAAGGACCACAGTCAACACCGTCCATTTCTGTCCAAAGGGATCCGGGTCCAAAGGGATGCGGGTCCCAAAGGGATCCGGGTCTCAAAGGGATTCGGGTCCCAAAGGGATGCGGGTCCCAAAGGGATCCGGGTCCCAAAGGGATCCGGGTCCCAAAGGGATCTGGGTCCCAAAGGGATCTGGGTTCAGACACCTTGTGGCTGATAATCAGAACCAGGTCTCTCTGTTTTTGGTCAGATTTAGATAGAAAAGTTTGGTCTTCAGCCTCATGATGCGTCCTGTTCAGGGGGTAACCAGGGGCGACCAGCCGCTGATGACCCCTCCCCATCAGAAATCTTAAAGGGGAACAGCATTTTTTTTTCCCATTGTTTCATTGATTTTCCGTTATTCCATCATGTTCTTCTCTCCCAGATGAGTTTAGTGTCATTTGGAGCCGTTCTGAAGATATTCCGTTAGGTTATATCCAGTAACGTCTTCCTATGGGCAACGACTTGAAGGCACAAACTAAACTGTTCATCGTTTATTCTTTATGGAACGCCAGCATTCAGAACATGGAGGCCAATCACTGTCCCCCAGACATCCCAGAACGCCCGACGACATCCCAGAACGCCCGACGACATCCCGGAACGCCCGACGACATCCCAGAACACCAGACGACATCCCAGAACGCCCGACGACATCCCAGAACGCCCGACGACATCCCGGAACGCCCGACGACATCCCAGAACACCAGACGACATCCCAGAACGCCCGACGACATCCCAGAACGCCCGACGACATCCCAGAACACCAGACGACATCCCAGAACGCCCGACGACATCCCAGAACGCCCGACGACATCCAAGAACACCAGACGACATCCCAGAACGCCAACCGACATCCCAGAACGCCAGACGACATCCCAGAACGCCCGACGACATCCCAGAACGCCAGACGACATCCAAGAACACCAGACGACATCCCAGAACGCCGACATTCCAGAACACCAGACGATATCCCAGAACGCCGACATTCCAGAACACCAGACGACATCCCAGAACATCCAAGAACACCTGAAATCCTCTAAGAATACCCGAGAATATGCCAGAACACCCAGAACTGCGGGAGGTAGGAGCAGATATGCTGACCTGGGCCGATTCCTGCCGCCGTCATCTGCGTCGCCATCAGTCTGGCCAGATGTTTGATCTGGGCGTCAGTGCCGGCCGACTCCACAGGCGTGTAAGTGGCCTGGAAGGAGGCTGGCATGACGTCCGGCAGGTACACCATGCTGATGAGCACCTGGGACAGAGACCACGGTTAGCAGGCTGCACGGGTCCGAGTCGGCTTTACAGACCGTGCCTCCTCACCAGGTTGGCTACGTTGTCGGGCGTTAGCAGCGGGCGTAAGAACTCTGCCGTGAGGTCGATGGCTGAATGTGGAGCTGGAACCGCGGCTGGCTTCGGGGCCGCGAGTGGGGCCGGTTCCTCTTTGTCTTCGTCGTCCTCAATGAGAGCTGGTTCTGAAAGCAGGACAACAGAAGTCTAAGGGACAGGGCGTGGCATCAGGAAGCAGGACGCTGGCGAGGACTCACCCATCTTGACCTTCTTCCCGTCAGTGGACTGCTCGTAGCGAGGCCTTTTGCGCTGCTCCCGCGGTGCCGGTGTGTAACGGGTTATTTCGCTCTGCGGCATTCCCAGATCCAGCAGCAGGGTGCTGATCTGGACCTGGAACTCCAGGCTGCAGGGGTGCTTCAGGACCGCCACCAGGTGCAGCTTCAGGTTCTTCCGAACGCTGCTCACCTGAGACTTGGCCAGAGTCGGAGGGAGGTTGGCTGCAAAGACAGATCAATGAGGCTCTATCAGGAAGCATCCTGCAGGACCAGGTCAGACCAGGACCCCAGGTCAGGCCTGGGTAGCGGGTTCCGTCTCACCATGCAGCGTCTCGTAGGCCTGCACCACCTCACACATGAACATGGGTCTCTGCCGGGCGATGGTGGCCAGAGAGCCCAGCGCCGTGGTCAGGTTGATGCTGGAAATGGCAGGATGGACCATGAACTTCAGCAGCTTCTCCAGGGCGCTCTTCCCCTCCTCACACAGCGTGTCTGCGGGTTCACCACAACAGGTTAGTGTCACAAACACAGCATAGAGCTAGAAACTAGAAGCGGGTCCTGGGACATCACCATAGCGAATGTAGGAGTGGTCTCTGGGGACTTTGTCCAGGCTGATGTCTCCTTCCTGCCTCTTAGGGACGTCGGACTCTGGTGTCCGTGGCGACAGCGTAATGATCAGAGATTCTGTGAACTTGATGGCGTGGGTCCGGATGCCATCGTTCTCTGAGTCCAGCATGGTCAGAACCTCCCCGCTCATCTGTGTGACCAGATCCCAGCACGCCTCCTGCATCTCCGACACCGTTTTAGAGCGGACCAGCCACTGCAAAGACATGACGGGTCAGGAGGACACGAGGTGGGTTTCTGGCCCCCCGGCGGTGCGCTCTCTGGGCCCCCGGCGGCAGGTACCTGCAGGGTCACCCTGTAGAGCTGGGTGAGGGAGAGGACGGCCTTCTTCACCACGTTGACGCTGTCGTCCCTCAGCAGCATGTTGAGGTTGGCGATGAGCCTGAGGAGGAGTTCGTTGTCCCGCTTACTGATGGATCAGAAGCACAGCAGGAGCTCAGCAGGACGTTAAGATCAGCAGGATCACGATCAGAAGGTATCGGCTGGCTCACCACGCCTCCTCTATGAATCCGATCACAAACTTCCTCACTTCGATGGAGCGGTCCGTCTGGAAGGCGATGATCTCCTGCAGAACAGAATTATATCAGAAAGGAAGCGCCGGCTGGACTGAAGCCCCCCCCCCCCAAGCCAGAGCCGCTCTGGGAACAAAATCACGATGAAAAAGTCTTCATCCTCTTTCTTTACTTACGTCCAGAAAGTTGTCGAGCAGAGACGGGTCTTTGTTGATGATCAGCTCCTGAACCTGGAAGAAGGAATAGAATCAGATCCGTTCTCCTCCAGCGTTCTCCATGGAGCTTTAGAACCAGACCACTGACCTGTTTGAGAACGTTCAGCTTCTCATCTGATGACATCAGCGCCGCCTGATTCAGAAGCTCCACAACCTGAAAGAGGCCAAAGATCCAGTCAGCAGCTGCTTCGGTTCCTCTGGGTTCTGCTGGAGAGAACCTCAGAACCAGATTCTCAGGCAACAGAAGCTGCTTTAACATTATGGGGTTCAGTCTGAACAGAGTCCAGGCCCCCCTAGGGGCCTCCTGGGGGCCACCAGGACTGAGAAGACAGGGTTTAGAAGGGAGGGATCCTGACCACAGGAACCAGCTCAGCCGGGTGGAGCAGCAGTAGCTGAGGGTGATGGAGCTCCTCAGCCAGCAGGAGGCGCTGCAGTTAACCAGGGTTTCATTGATTGATTGATTGGTGATTGATCAGTCCCTCCCTCACCTCCTCCATTAAACCAGGTGGACCAGTTCTCCATCAGAACCTTCCAGAACTCAGGCCACCAATTAAAGACTAGATGATAAAGGGCAAAGTTTTGGCACCCCACAGACTTCCTGTTTCTGCTTGAAATGAGCAGAAGCAGCTTTTTACCCTCTCACTGGTGCTGCTGTCGATCAGAGTAGGGGCCGCCCCCTCCATCATGCCGCCCTGGGAGCGCCTCACCGCCTGGAAAGATCCTGGAAATCCTGGAGAACATGGAGTAGCTTCAGTAAAGATTCACCAGGAACCGATAAAACACTTTTATCTCCTTTAGATATTGGGAACAATTAGACCTGTTAGCTGCTATGCTAACCCTGATGCTAAGCCGTTAGCTCTCTATTAGAACTATTTATGCTTAATAATCGTACCTCCTTATTTCGCTGCCGGGTTTAAGCAAACATTAATAACCAGCAGCCATAGAAAGATCTTCTTCTCAAACGATTTTCCTCCTTTATTTCTTAGAAAACTCTGTCAGCGCGGAACGTTAGCCGCCGCTCTTCCTCTGCTGCTGGGAACCAAAGGTCTGCGCAGCAGCAGTGCCTACCGGCCGGAGGGGGTATTACAGCCTTTCATCAGCGGAAGCCATCGGATCCTTTTTTTTTTTTTTATAAACTTTATTAGAAAAATTTTATAATACAGAGAAAAATACAATTTACAGTGAACAATCGCCAGGGGTTTGAGCAAAATAAAATAAAATAAAAAGTAATTAAATAAAAGTAAAAAAAAAAAAAGTAATAGTAAATAGAAGCATATAAAGGGATTATATAAATACTTTAAATTTAGAGCATAAAGTTATAGTCTTAGCAGCTTTTTTATTATAGGAAGAGGACAATGTAGAAAAATAAGTAGTTGCTTCCTTTAGAAAAGAAATACACGAGGGTTTAGTCACAATAACTTTACATTTGTGGAAATAAAACTTGGCCAACAGTAACAAAAGATTACATAAGAAGAAATGTTCAGAAAGTTCTTTTTTATATTTTGTGATTCCAAATAAAACATCTTGAAAATAAAGTTCAAATTTATCATAAATATTGTCCAGAATGAAGCGACAGATACCTTTCCAAAAACGCCTGGTGTGTTCAGAGGACCAGAACAGATGAGAGACAGACCCTGAGGGGCCAGGTTCTGAGTGTCAATGTCCTTTTTATATTTAACCTAAAATGACTTTACTGGATAACAGCGGTGAATGATCTTAGAGGAAACCTCTTTAACCTTGTTTACTAGTAAATATTTATTAGGTAAAGACCAGGTTTTGTTCCAGCAGACCTCTGAGGCCAGTCCAGACCAGACTGAAGTTACGTAAGGAACTGAAATGCAGTTTGCTTGGAATAAAGTACGAAAATGTTTGTTATTTTTAGGAGATTTAGGTTGAAAACACAATTTACCTTCATAGGTGTCAGTTAGTTCAGTTGGAGTCTGACCTTTGAATAAAATCAGAACACCTGGAGGAAGAGCATCAAAACTATAGCAAACTGTTCTGGGTTTATAGGAATCTTAAAATGATAAAAAAAAAAAAAATTCTTGATAATTAAAGAGGTTTTTCCTTTTTCATTGAAAAGTTGACTTACTAGTGTGATACCATTCCTAAACCAGTTTAAAAAAAACAGAGATTCTCTCTTATAACATATATCTTTGTTATTCCAAAGAAAGTCCCTATTAGGAGAAAAATTATGTTTGAAGATCAGTGACCGGGCCAGAAGGGCTTGTTTATGAAAGTTAGACAGAGCGATCAATGTTAGAATTACACTGCAAAACAAACTTAAGACCAACTATCTCAGAGAACAAGTAGTGAGGAATAAAAGTCCAGATTGAGGTAGGATTTTTAATTCAAGTTCACTTTGAATGTATTGTTGATTGTTGTAAAGTCGAGAACGTTAAGACCTCCTGCATCATAACTATTCATTAAAACGGATTTTTTAATATAATGAGTTTTGTTTTTCCAAATAAAGTTGCATAGTGTCCTGTCAATTTCTGTGCACATCTTTTAGTCTACAGCCAGAGAAACAGCCGCATCGGTTAGTCTGCATATTCCTTCAGCTTTAGAAAGTAAAATTCTGCCCCGAAGGGATAAATCTCTTTGGAGCCATGAGTTAAATCTTTTCTTTCTTCTTTCTAAAATTGGGCTAAAGTTGAGATAACATCCAGTGTTCTGTGTTTGGTTAAGGTTATTCCTAAGTAATTAATGGTTTCTTTAATTGGAATATTGCAGCAATGAGAGAGTTCACATTTCTTAACAGCCATTAATTCACATTTGTTCACATTTAAGTAAAGACCAGAAGCCTCAGAAAATACTTTTATCAATTCAAGTGCCAGAGAAACTTCAGAAGAGTCTTTTAAGAAAATTGTTGTATCATCAGCCGATTGGCTGATAATAATTCTTTAGTCCAGAACTGACATTCCACCCAACTGACTATTTATTCTGTGAGTAGCCAATAGATGAGTGGATAGCAGAAATAAATCAGGGGAAATGGGACAAACTTGCCCTGTACCACGTTTTAAGTCCAATCTTGGGGATGTTCCGTTTCTCAATTTGATTGAACTAGAATGTTTTAATCCTGTTTTAAACCTTTAAATCGGTTTTTAAATGTGCAAACCCCATACGGTAACCCCATGGTAACCCCATGGTAACCCCATAGGGTAACCCCATGGTAACCCCATAGGGTAACCCCATTGTAACCCCATGGTAACCCCATAGGGTAACCCCATGGTAACCCCATAGGGTAACCCCATAGGGTAACCCCATGGTAACCCCATGGTAACCCCATAGGGTAACCCCATAGGGTAACCCCATAGGGTAACCCCATGTTAACCCCATGGTAACCCCATAGGGTAACCCCATAGGGTAACCCCATGGTAACCCCATGGTAACCCCATAGGGTAACCCCATAGGGTAACCCCGTAGGGTAACCCCGTAGGGTAACCACGGAGTTACCATAACACAGGATTATAGGGCGATTTTTAATTTCATAAAGAAATATTTGTTTTATAAATAAATCGAGAGCAGCTGGTTTATTTATATGTTAGGGGGAAAAAACCCAGAAGGAAAACAAATGAATAGAAGCGTAACCGTTTAGACCAGGGGTGCTCAAGTCCAGTCCTCAAGAGCTACTATCCTGCAACTTTTTGATTCACCCCATTTTTAACACACCTGAATCAAATGAGTGGCTCGTTACCTGCCTCTGCTGAGCTAAATGAGGGGATTGAGCCTTTGGATTCAGGTGTGTTAGAGGAGAGATGCATCTAAAAGTTCCAGGATGGTAGCTCTTGAGGACTGGACTTGAGCACCCCTGGTTTAGACGAACTACTGTTTTTGACTACACATCCCAGAAGTCTTTGCAGCAGAAGTCCGATAGCTAGCCAATGAGGAAGCAGGAGGAAATGCTAATGTTTACAAGCAGTCAACAGGCTCCAGTTTCCTGCTAAAAACACCGATTTCTGCGGCTGGATGGAACATTTCTATCAGATCATGTCTGAAGTTAAATGAAGGAGTTTGACAATCTGGTAGGAAAATGTTTATTGCTTCTTTTTCTCAGATATTTCCACTGAGCCTGTTAGCTCTGAGCTACAACATAAAAGCTAAACTGGAATCGAGTTTAACGTTTGTTGTGATTGATCTTATTTTTGTTTATTGGAGAGGAAAGTTTGTTCTGTTTTTATCTAAAGTGTAGCTCCTGTTATAGTCCAGGTTCTGGTTCTGGTCCCAGAGGGTCATCCAGTATCATGGAGACCATGGAGCCCATCAGAGGGGCCAGGTTCTGGTTCTGGTCCCAGAGGCTCATCCAGTACTATGGAGACCATGGAGCCCATCAGAGGGTCCAGGTTCTGGTTCTGGTCCCAGAGGCTCATCCAGTACTATGGAGACCATGGAGCCCATCAGAGGGGCCAGGTTCTGGTTCTGGTCCCAGAGGCTCATCCAGTATCATGGAGACCATGGAGCCCATCAGAGGGGCCAGGTTCTGGTTCTGGTCCCAGAGGCTCATCCAGTATCATGGAGACCAGGTTAGCCCATCAGAGGGGCCAGGTTCTGGTTCTGGTCCCAGAGGCTCATCCAGTATCATGGAGCCCATCAGAGGGGCCAGGTTCTGGTTCTGGTCCCAGAGGCTCATCCAGTATCATGGAGACCAAGGAGCCCATCAGAGGGGCCAGGTTCTGGTTCTGGTCCCAGAGGCTCATCCAGTATCATGGAGACCAGGTTAGCCCATCAGAGGGGCCAGGTTCTGGTTCTGGTCTCAGAGGCTCATCCAGTATCATGGAGACCATGGAGCCCATCAGAGGGGCCAGGTTCTGGTTCTGGTCCCAGAGGCTCATCCAGTATCATGGAGACCAAGGAGCCCATCAGAGGGGCCAGGTTCTGGTTCTGGTCCCAGAGGCTCATCCAGTATCATGGAGACCAAGGAGCCCATCAGAGGGGCCAGGTTCTGGTTCTGGTCCCAGAGGCTCATCCAGTATCATGGAGACCAGGTTAGCCCATCAGAGGGGCCAGGTTCTGGTTCTGGTCCCAGAGGCTCATCCAGTATCATGGAGCCCATCAGAGGGGCCAGGTTCTGGTTCTGGTCCCAGAGGCTCATCCAGTATCATGGAGACCAAGGAGCCTATCAGAGGGTCCAGGTTCTGGTTCTGGTCCCAGAGGCTCATCCAGTATCATGGAGACCATGGAGCCCATCAGAGGGTCCAGGTTCTGGTTCTGGTCCCAGAGGCTCATCCAGTATCATGGAGACCATGGAGCCCATCAGAGGGGCCAGGTTCTGGTTCTGGTCCCAGAGGCTCATCCAGTATCATCGAGACCAGGTTAGCCCATCAGAGGGGCCAGGTTCTGGTTCTGGTCCCAGAGGCTCATCCAGTATCATGGAGACCAAGGAGCCTATCAGAGGGTCCAGGTTCTGGTTCTGGTCCCAGAGGCTCATCCAGTATCATGGAGACCATGGAGCCCATCAGAGGGTCCAGGTTCTGGTTCTGGTCCCAGAGGCTCATCCAGTATCATGGAGACCATGGAGCCCATCAGAGGGGCCAGGTTCTGGTTCTGGTCCCAGAGGCTCATCCAGTATCATGGAGACCAGGTTAGCCCATCAGAGGGTCCAGGTTCTGGTTCTGGTCCCAGAGGCTCATCCAGTATCATGGAGACCAGGTTAGCCCATCAGAGGGTCCAGGTTCTGGTTCTGGTCCCAGAGGCTCATCCAGTACCATGGAGACCATGGAGCCCATCAGAGGGTCCAGGTTCTGGTTCTGGTCCCAGAGGCTCATCCAGTACCATGGAGACCATGGAGCCCATCAGAGGGTCCAGGTTCTGGTTCTGGTCCCAGAGGCTCATCCAGTACCATGGAGACCATGGAGCCCATCAGAGGGTCCAGGTTCTGGTTCTGGTCCCAGAGGCTCATCCAGTACCATGGAGACCATGGAGCCCATCAGAGGGTCCAGGTTCTGGTTCTGGTCCCAGAGGCTCATCCAGTACCATGGAGACCATGGAGCCCATCAGAGGGTCCAGGTTCTGGTTCTGGTCCCAGAGGCTCATCCAGTACCATGGAGACCATGGAGCCCATCAGAGGGGCCAGGTTCTGGTTCTGGTCCAGTCTGAAGCAGGATGAGGTTCTGGGACTTTGTAGTTGACCTAAAGCTCTGATCAGAGGAGATCTGAACCGTTCGATTCCCATCACAGGGAAGCATGTTGGCGGCAGCATCATGCTGAGGAGAGGCTGGTCAGAGATGATAGAAGGTGGATGGAACATCCTTCTGAGTTAGATCCCAGCTGTTTAGAATGGCCTAGTCAAAGTCCAGACCTCCTTCCGCTCTGACTGAGCCTGAAGTGTTTAGAGGAAGTAGATGATCAGACGATGTTCCCAGGTGGTGGAGTTCTAGATCGGGGGGTGGGGCAGAACCAAGGGAGGATCAGCCTGGTTCTGTGTCTTCAGAGTTCTGGTACTGATGGTTTTGTCTCTGATGGTTCTAAAGGTTGTGGTGTCTCCTCAGCGCCCCCATGGACTGGGTGTTTGTCATGAACCGGATGGGCTCTCAGGGCAGCTCCTCCTCCCAGCGGAGGCGGATGGTTCTGGGGGTTCTGATCCTCCTGCTGGTGGATGTCATCTGGGTGGCTTCATCGGAGCTCACCACGGTAAGGAGGTTCTGATCCCAGCAGTTCTCATCAGAAGGATCAGGACCTGCGAAACAATCCAAACACATTTCTGTAACTGATCCAACATGTCCTGCCCTATCGGTTGCATGAACTAGTTCCGGACCGGTACCGGACCCGGTACCACAGCTAGCCTCTCAGCATGTCATGTGTTTCCTCCTCTGCTGTTCTCTAGTACATCTTTAAGCAGCAGGAGTACAACAAGCCTTTCTTCAGCACCTTCACCAAGACCTCCATGTTTGTTCTGTATCTGCTGGGCTTCCTGCTGTGGCGGCCGTGGAGGCAGCAATGCACCGGATCGCTGAGGCGTCACCAGTCTGCGTTTGTAAGTCTACATCGTCTCACAGTCACTAAGGGAACAATTTAAGGTTCTGCTGCAGGAAAAAAAGTTTGACAAACTACGGATGGGCGGCAGCTTTACTTCTTCATCAGCTATTCATGATGAAGCAATGGTCTATTAAAGGCCTTTCTGTGGAGCGGAGAAAAACAACAACGGCACCAAGGATGGTTTAGGCTGCCAGAACCATGAGGAATGATTAACGGACCCGAACAAAGAACCAAATATATCAGAGGTTCTTAAAATCCAAAACACCCAGAGAAAAAAACAGAACCACTGATAAACCTGTTGGGTTCTGGTCGGTCTGACTGAACAGGTACCAGGACTAGCTTAGCTTTGCTGCTAGCCCGACCTGGCTCAAGCTAGCAGTCAATCACCGTGGCAACCCATGTGGTAATGCTTTGGTGAAACAGTCCAGGCTAATGGGCGGTCTGGGTTTGGGTAGACCGACCTCTGCTTTCTGTCTTAGGAGTTAAACCTGTGAAAGACTACAAACAATAAGACATTTTTCCATCAGAGTTTGGTTGGATTGTTTTATATAAAAACAACCAAATGTTGAAGCTTCCAAAACCCTGACCCCCCAGGGTGCAGACCAGGAAGCAGAGTCCTAGTTTAACAGACCTCTCTGCAGCTTCTCTACTGTTACCCACTCTTTACTCCATCCAGACAGTGTCTTGCCCACGACCAAAATCTAATAAATTAGCAAATATTCCCAAAGGAGTAAATCATGATAATCTAATTAAAATCAAAATAACTCCAATTGGGGAAAAAGTTAAAACAATTAAATGTGGTCTGTTTAACATAAGATCTCTTTCCTCTAAAAGTCTGCTAGTTAATGACTTGATTTGTGATAATCACATTGACTTGTTTTGCCTTACAGAAACCTGGCTGCAGCAAGAGGATTATGTGAGCATAAATGAGGCAACTCCTTCAAGCTATTTAAATTTTCACATCCCCAGAAGTTCTGGGCGAGGAGGAGGAGTAGCAACAATCTTCCAGCCTGCTGATGAAGGTTCCCAGTCATCCAGGTCATAGTCACTCCGTAAAAATTCAAAAAATATCCACTCAACTTGGTTTTCAAGATTTGAAGACGTTTCGCCACCTCTCCAGGAAGCTTTCTCAATTCAATTTGAATTGAGAGTGGATATTTTTTGAACTTTTACAGAATCTTCCAGTCTGACTTACTGATTACTCCCAAAACAGTTAATACCTACAACTCTTTGAACATTTAACCCTTAATTTCCCTCATCCAAATTTCAAGGCAAGAAAACCTCTTCTTTTTGTAACTTTGTATCGTCCACCAGGTCCTTACTCTGAATTTTTAGATGAGTTTTCAGAGTTCCTTTCTGATTTGGTATTAAATACTGACAGGGTCATCATAGTGGGAGATTTTAACATCCATGCTGACATTGAAGGCGATAGCTTAAGAGCAGCCTTTAATGCTATCTTAGACACTATTGGCTTTGTTCAAAATGTGAATAGTCCCACACATTCTCATCTTCATACTTTGGATCTTGTGCTGACATACGGCATAGAATGTGAAGAAATAACAGTATTTCCTCACAACCCTGTCCTCTCTTACCACTTTCTAATAACCTTCAGGATTACTTTAACAGAGTTCTCCTCCCCCAAAAGAAGGTTCAATTTTAGTAGATCTTTATCAGATAGAGCAGTTATACATTTTAAAGAATCTGCTTCACTTTCTCTCTCCTCTGTGTCGCTGAGCAGTGCTGCAGAGTGCAAAAGCTTAGCTTATTCCCCTTCACAGGTTGATGATTTTGTTGATGGGGTTGCTAGTTCTCTGCGTATTGCCTTAGACAACGCAGCTCCTTTGAAAATGAAAACCGTTAAAAATAGAAAGCTTGCTCCTTGGTTTAATGCAGAGCTGCGTACTTTGAAGCAAAATGCTAGGAAACTGGAGAGAAAATATCGCTCCACAGGCCTGCGGGAGTCCTTCCTAGTCTGGAAAAATGGTTTACTGCTGTATAAGAGGACCCTTTGTAAAGCAAGAGCAGCATACTTCTCCTCATTAATAGAGGAGAATAAGAATAATCCTACATTTCTTTTTAATACAGTTGCCAAACTGTCCCAGAGCCATAGCTCTGTTGAACCGTCCATTAGCTCTCCTCTATCTGCGATTGTACCTGAGGTAGTCATGGAATCTGAACCGGGTTTAGACTGCTTTGATCCAGTTGAACTTTCTGAATTAGCAAAATTATTGTCTTCATCTAAGCCTTCAACTTGGATGTTAGATCCAGTTCCAACCAGGTTATTTAAAGAGGTATTCCCTTTGATCTCCTCCTCCATTCTAGATGTGATTAATCTATCTCTGTTACAGGGATATGTACCTAAAGCTTTTAAGGTTGTGGGAATTATAATTTTTTTATTTATAAATTTTTTAAACAGCATCCTGTCTGGCGATGTGGCAATAATAATAATTTTCCTTTCCCCAGTGGAGCAGTACGGCTATCGCCATAGTGTTCCGCTTGATTTATGCATATAAATAGCTTTATTATAATTATGCAGGGAGTTTTACAGATTATATGGACACTGCAATGTAAGTAGAACAGGAAAGGAAAAACAGAAAAAAAGGAGAAAATATGAAAGAGGAGATAAAAGGAAGATAATAATAAAACATCTTCAGTCTGCTTCATCACCTGCAAAGAGATGGAAAAAGAACAGAACAACCAACAGATATAAGAGATACAATAAAGTAACACCTTGATACTATTGCTGAAGTAGTATTAGTTAATCTGACACATACTCTGTGAAGATCAGAATGTGGGCTTTCTGTGTGGAAGTGAATCTCTGAGTACCTGGAACCAAGCGCCTGTAGTTGATTGTGAGAGTGCACTACTGCATGTAAAGTTTATCCAAAGGAAAAATGCTCAATAGTGGTTGTGGAGAGCCGAAGAGGCGCCCCCCCAAAGCACTGAGGTGAGCGCAGGGAGGCCCAAAGCCCCAGACGCCCAGAGGGACCCCAAGAGCAAAGGCACCAAGGAGGGGCCAGCCCAAGAAATCCGACCCCCATCAAGGGAGGGGGAGAGACAGCCCCGAGGAAGCCCCCCAGCCACCACAATGCCGGAGCCACCCCAAAGTGAATCCGGCCCTGGGCCCCAGGGATCCGAGGCCCCAGGGGCGCCCCTCCCCCCGGCAGGAGCCCCAGCCAGGCCCAGGCCAGCAGGGCCCTGCGGAGAAATGAGCCAGTAGCCACCCGGGCATCAACCCCCAAACACCCGTGCACCGGCGAGCCCAGGCGCCGGTGCACTGGTGGAGCAATCAGCTGGTTTTCCTTAGAAAGCTTTGAATCAATCTGACCGGATGATCTGGTTGAATAGTTTCTATAAAGTGACCTGAGATGACAGGATGTGAATTGGACTAGAAATAAACTGAATAGACGGGTTAGTTGTAAAGCAGCAGTAGCTGGTTGGGTTTTAACTCTGTATTGTTTTGCAGTTTGCAGATGCTGAGGCTCACTTCGCCCCTTGTGCCGCCGACAGCCCCGTGAACAACTGCTTGGTACGTAGTTTACCTGCAAACAGGTGAGCTCAGGGTATCAGTTTAACGTGGTTGGAAAAATAATTTCCATCACATCCATTCTACTATTGACTCTAATATTGATTTATGAATTCTGATTTTCATTAATTTACTATAAAGTATTCACTCTGCTGCGTTCACACCAAACACGATCTGGGCGTTAAAAACGCTTAAACACAGAACTTTGGATGCTGGTCAAAGTCGCTTCGCAGTCTGGACCCTCGCCTCTCTGGTTGTTTATCTGCTCTGTTCTGTAGCTTCCAGCTAGAGAGCAGCTCGGCTTTATTTACTTTATGAGCGGGGAAATAGTTTTAACGTGTTTTTAAGTGAGAAAGTCCACCTCCAAACATCCTCTGTTCATCGGTTCATCAGGATTATAATCCCACTATAATCTGCAGTTCTGTTGGGAGCTCCAGACCTCCAGCATCCCGCCAGGAGGCGGCGCTGGGAATCCCCGCTGAAAGCTCTCAGCCTGTGGGGGATTTCCTGCTGCTGCTCGTAGCGGCTGGAAGTGGATAGAAAGAGTTTTTAATGTTTGTGGTAAAAACTGCAAGAAACAGAATAAATAATCCAATATTTTTCATCAGCAGGTTTTAACATTTCTAGTTAATTTGGGGATTTATAAACGGTTTCTCTATAGTTCCTTCAAAAATGTTTTAGTGGGACACTGGTACGCCCAGATGCTGGGACACTGGTACGCCGAGATGCTGGCACACTGGTACGCTGGGACACTGGTACGCCCAGATGCTGGGACACTGGTACGCCCAGATGCTGGGACACTGGTACGCCGAGATGCTGGTACGCTGGGACACTGGTACGCCCAGATGCTGGGACACTGGTACGCCCAGATGCTGGGACACTGGTACGCCCAGATGCTGGGACACTGGTACGCTCAGATGCTGGCACACTGGTACGCTCAGATGCTGGCACACTGGTACGCTGGGACACTGGTACGCCCAGATGCTGGGACACTGGTACGCTCAGATGCTGGGACACTGGTACGCCCAGATGCTGGGACACTGGTACGCCCAGATGCTGGGACACTGGTACGCCGAGATGCTGGCACACTGGTACGCTGGGACACTGGTACGCCCAGATGCTGGGACACTGGTACGCCCAGATGCTGGGACACTGGTACGCCGAGATGCTGGCACACTGGTACGCTGGGACACTGGTACGCCCAGATGCTGGGACACTGGTACGCTCAGATGCTGGGACACTGGTACGCCCGGATGCTGGGACATTGGTACGCTCAGATGCTGGCACACTGGTACGCTCAGATGCTGGGACACTGGTACGCCCAGATGCTGGGACACTGGTACGCCCGGATGCTGGGACACTGGTACGCTCAGATGCTGGCACACTGGTACGCTCAGATGCTGGGACACTGGTACGCCCAGATGCTGGGACACTGGTACGCCCAGATGCAGGGACACTGGTATGCTCAGATGCTGGCACACTGGTACGCCCAGATGCTGGGACACTGGTACGCCGAGATGCTGGAAGACTGGTACGCCCAGATGCTGAGACACTGGTACGCCCAGATCCTGGAAGACTGGTACGCCCAGATGCTGGGACACTGGTACGCTCAGATGCTGGGACACTGGTACGCCCAGATGCTGGCACACTGGTACGCTCAGATGCTGGGCCACTGGTATGCCCAGATGCTGGGCCACTGGTATGCTCAGATGCTGGCACGCTGGTACGCCCAGATGCTCGGCCACTGGTACGCCCCAGATGCTGGGACACTGGTACGCCCGGATGCTGGGACACTGGTACGCTCTGGTGCTGGCACACTGGTACGCTCAGATGCTGGGACACTGGTACGCTCAGATGCTGGGACACTGGTACGCTCAGATGCTGGGACACTGGTACGCCCAGATGCTCGGACACTGGTACGCTGGGACACTGGTACGCCCAGATGCAGGGACACTGGTATGCTCAGATGCTGGCACACTGGTACGCCCAGATGCTGGGACACTGGTACGCCGAGATGCTGGAAGACTGGTACGCCCAGATGCTGGTACACTGGTACGCCCAGATCCTGGAAGACTGGTACGCCCAGGTGCTGGGACACTGGTACGCCAAGATGCTGGGACACTGGTACGCCGAGATGCTGGCACACTGGTACGCTGGGACACTGGTACGCCCAGATGCTGGGACACTGGTACGCTCAGATGCTGGGACACTGGTACGCCCGGATGCTGGGACACTGGTACGCTCAGATGCTGGCACACTGGTACGCTCAGATGCTGGGACACTGGTACGCCCAGATGCTGGGACACTGGTACGCTGGGACACTGGTACGCCCAGATGCTGGGACACTGGTACGCTCAGATGCTGGGACACTGGTACGCCCAGATGCTGGGACACTGGTACGCTGGGACACTGGTACGCCCAGATGCAGGGACACTGGTATGCTCAGATGCTGGCACACTGGTACGCCCAGATGCTGGGACACTGGTACGCCGAGATGCTGGAAGACTGGTACGCCCAGATGCTGGGACACTGGTACGCCCAGATCCTGGAAGACTGGTACGCCCAGATCCTGGAAGACTGGTACGCCCAGATGCTGGGACACTGGTACGCTCAGATGCTGGGACACTGGTACGCCCAGATGCTGGCACACTGGTACGCTCAGATGCTGGGCCACTGGTATGCCCAGATGCTGGGACACTGGTATGCTCAGATGCTGGCACGCTGGTACGCCCAGATGCTGGGCCACTGGTACGCCCCAGATGCTGGGACACTGGTACGCCCAGATGCTGGGCCACTGGTACGCCCAGATGCTGGGACACTGGTACGCCCAGATGCTGGGACACTGGTACGCCCAGATGCTGGCACACTGGTACGCTTAGATGCTGGGCCACTGGTAAGCCCAGATGCTGGGACACTGGTACGCTCAGATGCTGGCACGCTGGTACGCCCAGATGCTGGGACACTGGTAGGCCCAGATGCTGGGACACTGGTACGCCCAGATCCTGGAAGACTGGTACTCCCAGATGCGGGGACACTGGTACGCCCAGATGCTGGGACACTGGTACGCTCAGATGCTGGGACACTGGTACGCCGAGATGCTGGGACACTGGTACGCTGGGACACTGATACGCCCAGGTGCTGGGACACTGATACACCCAGATGCTGGGACACTGGTACGCCGAGATGCTGGGACACTGGTACGCTGGGACACTGGTACGCCCAGGTGCTGGGACACTGATACACCCAGATGCTGGGACACTGGTACGCCGAGGTGCTGGCACACTGGTACGCTGGGACACTGGTACGCCCAGATGCTGGGACACTGGTACGCCCAGATGCTGGGACACTGGTACGCCGAGATGCTGGCACACTGGTACGCTGGGACACTGGTACGCCCAGATGCTGGGACACTGGTACGCTCAGATGCTGGGACACTGGTACGCCCAGATGCTGGGACACTGGTACGCTCAGATGCTGGGACACTGGTACGCTCAGATGCTGGGACACTGGTACGCCCGGATGCTGGGACACTGGTACGCTCAGATGCTGGCACACTGGTACGCTCAGATGCTGGGACACTGGTACGCCCAGATGCTGGGACACTGGTACGCTGGGACACTGGTACGCCCAGATGCTGGGACACTGGTACGCCCGGATGCTGGGACACTGGTATGCTCAGATGCTGGCACACTGGTACGCCCAGATGCTGGGACACTGGTACGCTGGGACACTGGTACGCCCAGATGCAGGGACACTGGTATGCTCAGATGCTGGCACACTGGTACGCCCAGATGCTGGGACACTGGTACGCCCAGATCCTGGAAGACTGGTAGACCAGATGCTGGGACACTGGTACGCTCAGATGCTGGGACACTGGTACGCCCAGATGCTGGCACACTGGTACGCTCAGATGCTGGGCCACTGGTATGCCCAGATGCTGGGACACTGGTATGCTCAGATGCTGGCACGCTGGTACGCCCAGATGCTGGGCCACTGGTACGCCCCAGATGCTGGGACACTGGTACGCCCAGATGCTGGGACACTGGTACGCCCAGATGCTGGGACACTGGTATGCCCAGATGCTGGCACACTGGTACGCTCAGATGCTGGGACACTGGTACGCTCAGATGCTGGGCCACTGGTAAGCCCAGATGCTGGGACACTGGCACGCCCAGATGCTGGGACACTGGTAGGCCCAGATGCTGGGACACTGGTACGCCCAGATCCTGGAAGACTGGTACGCCCAGATGCTGGGACACTGGTACGCCCAGATGCTGGGACACTGGTACGCCCAGATGCTGGCACACTGGTACGCCCGGATGCTGGGACGCTGGTACGCCCGGATGCTGGGACGCTGGTACGCCCCGATGCTGGGACGCTGGTTCGCCCAGATGCTGGGACACTGGTGTGGCCGGATGCTGGGACACTGGTACGCTCAGATGCTGGGACGCTGGTACGCCCAGATGCTGGGACACTGGTACGCCCGGATGCTGGGACGCTGGTACGCCCGGATGCTGGGACACTGGTACACCTGGATGCTGGGACACTGGTACTCCCAGATGCTGGGATGCTGGTACGCCCAGATGCTGGGACACTGGTACGCTGGGACGCTGGTATGCCCAGATGCTGGGATACTGGTACGCCCAGATGCTGGGACACTGGTACGGCCGGATGCTGGGACACTGGTACGCCCGGATGCTGGGACACTGGTACGCCCAGATACTGGGACACTGGTACGCCCAGATGCTGGCACACTGGTACGCCCAGATGCTGGGACACTGCTACGCCCAGATGCTGGGACACTGGGACGCTGGTACGCCCAGATGCTGGGACACTGGGACGCTGGTACGCCCAGATGCTGGGACACTGGTACGCTGGGAAGCTGGTACGCCCAGATGCTGGGACACTGGTATGCTCAGATGCTGGCACACTGGTACGCCCAGATGCTGGGACGCTGGTACGCCCAGATGCTGGGACACTGGTACGGCCGGATGCTGGGACACTGGTACGCCCAGATGCTGGGACACTGGTACGTTGCGGCGCTCCCGATGCTCGGATGCTCCTGGTCCTCCATGCAGCGTGTCCAGCCAGCCTGGCCCGGCGGAGCTCTCCAGAGAGCGGCGGCGTTTCCCACGCCCTCCGAGCTGAATGCGGAGTGCGATCGCCAATGAAAAGACGGTTGCTGAGGTCAGCAGCTCCTGCAGTAACTGAGGTTTCAGAGTGAGGAAGCTGAGAAGGGCCAGAGCCTCCTCTATCGCTGCTCCTCCTTTATGGATTAGCCTCCTGCTGCACATTAAGGAGGCATCTTCACTGCCGAACTTTAAACATGGCTCCAAACGTACTTTTTTTCTTTTTTATACTTATTTTTTATTGAACATTTCTGAACACATACAGTGGAAAGGCAACAATACATTCAACTTCATATACAATGTTGGACAACCGTGTCCATATTTAAGAGTGGTATTCTCCTTGCGTCTGTAGTCGCTCCATTTTCCCCATTTAACAACAAACTTGTCCTCCTGCAATCTCAGTCTATGGGTGACTTTCTCCATTGCAGAAATCTCTTCCACCATACTCATCCATTGCTCCACCGCGGGGGGGTCGTGTCTATACCATAGTTTTGTGATGGTTTTCCTTGATGCTGAAAGTAATATTTTTAGCAGGTATTCATCATCCTTTTGAATTACATCGTGTGTGAGGCATCCCAGATAAAGTGTTTTACATGATCTGGGTATTCCATAACCCAATATGTTTTTCTAAATAAGGCAAACATTATGCCAGTATGTGGTTAGCTTTTGACCAACAGTTAGACAGTGTGCCTTTACATGAGATCAACAAATGCTAACAGGCTGCTGTCTCCTCTGCAGAGTGAGCCGCTTTATGTCCCGGTGAGGTTCCAGGATGCAGCTTCTGACCCATATGACCGTTTACCTGCAGACGCTGAAGCTGGTGAGTACCGTCCTGCTCACCTTTCGCTCTCTGAGATCTTCAGTATTACATGGCAGCTGATCCTCATCAGTGGGAGGAGCTCCATGGCAGCAGGAGGTAGAATGAACTTTCATTAACAAGATCTAAATGTTAAAGAAAGCTAAACAAAGCTGATCATGTCACCTACTGACCATATGATAGACCGACAGTGTGACCTATTGACAGTGTGACGAAGAGACCATGTGACCGTGTGACCTAGTGACCGTGTGATCTAGTGACAATGTGATCTACTGACAGTGTGACCGTGTGACCTAGTGACCGTGTGATCTACTGACAGTGTGATCTAGTGACCATTTGACCTAGTGACCGTGTGATCTAGTGACAGTGTGATCTAGTGACCGTGTGATCTACTGACAGTGTGATCTAGTGACCATTTGACCTAGTGACCGTGTGATCTAGTGACAGTGTGATCTTGTGACCGTGTGATCTAGTGACCGTGTGACCTAGTGACCGTGTGATCTAGTGACAGTGTGACCTAGTGACCGTGTGATCTAGTGACCTAGTGATCTACTGACAGTGTGATCTACTGACAGTGTGATCTGGTGACCATTTGACCTAGTGACCTAGTGACCGTGTGATCTAGTGACAGTGTGATCTAGTGACAGTGTGACCTAGTGACCGTGTGACCTACTGACAGTGTGATCTACTGACAGTGTGATCTAGTGACAGTGTGATCTAGTGACAGTGTGACCTAGTGACCGTGTGACCTACTGACAGTTTGATCTACTGACAGTGTGATCTAGTGACCATTTGACCTAGTGATCTAGTGACAGTGTGATCTAGTGAACGTGTGATCTACTAACAGTGTGATCTAGTGACAGTGTGACCTAGTGACAGTGTGACCTAGTGACAGTGTGACCTAGTGACCGTGTGACCTAGTGACAGTGTGACCTAGTGACCATGTAATCTACTGACAGTGTGATCTAGTTACCATTTGACCTAGTGACCGTGTAATCTAGTGACAGTGTGATCTACTGACAGTGTGATCTAGTGTCCGTGTGACCTAGTGACAGTGTGACCTAGTGACCATGTAATCTACTGACAGTGTCATCTACTGACAGTGTGATCTACTGACAGTGTGATCTAGTGACCGTGTGATCTAGTGACAGTGTGATCTAGTGACTGTGTGATCTACTGACAGTGTGACCTAGTGACCGTGTGATCTACTGACAGTGTGATCTAGTGACTGTGTGATCTACTGGCAGTGTGATCTAGTGACCGTGTGATCTAGTGACCGTGGGATCTAGTGACAGTGTGAACTACTGACAGTGTGATCTAGTGACAGTGTGATCTAGTGATCTAGTGACCGTGTGACCTAGTGACAGTGTGAACTAGTGACCGTGTGATCTAGTTACAGTGTGATCTAGTGACAGTGTGACCTAGAGACCTTGTGATCTAGTGACAGTGTGATCTAGTGACAGTGTGATCTAGTGACCGTGTGATCTAGTGACAGTGTGACCTACTGACAGTGTGATCTAGTGACCATTTGACCTAGTGACCTAGTGACCGTGTGATCTAGTGACAGTGTGATCTAGTGACAGTGTGACCTAGTGACAGTGTGATCTACTGACAGTGTGACCTAGTGACAGTGTGATCTAGTGACCATTTTACCTAGTGACCTAGTGACCGTGTGATCTAGTGACAGTGTGATCTAGTGACAGTGTGACCTAGTGACAGTGTGATCTACTGACAGTGTGATCTACTGACAGTGTGATCTAGTGACCGTGTGATCTAGTGACAGTGTGACCTACTGACAGTGTGATCTAGTGACCATTTGACCTAGTGACCTAGTGACAGTGTGACCTAGTGACAGTGTGATCTAGTGACCGTGTGATCTAGTGACAGTGTGACCTACTGACAGTGTGATCTAGTGACCATTTGACCTAGTGACCTAGTGACAGTGTGACCTAGTGACAGTGTGACGTAGTGACAGTGTGATCTACTGACAGTGTGACCTAGTGACAGTGTGATCTAGTGACCGTGTGATCTACTGACAGTGTGATCTAGTGACCGTGTGATCTATTGGCCATGTGTGACCAATCATCACGTGGACACGTAAGCATGTGATTCTGTGCCTCCCCCCACCTGCAGCCTCCAGAAAGCAGCGGGTCCGTTTCAGTAACATCATGGAGGTCCGCCAGCTGCCACCCACTCAGGCCCTGGAGGCCAAGCTGTCCCGCATGTCCTACCCTGCTGCCAAGGATCAGGAGGCCTTGCTGCGTACGGTGGGGAAGCTGACCATCACTGATGTGGCGAAGATCAGCTTCTTCTTCTGTTTTGTGGTGAGTAGCAATCAAAGTTTGAACAGAAATCTGGACTTGAGGAGGCGTCCAACAGCCCTTCAGATTCTGGTGGCAGGGAGTCTGCTTTAGATCCAGTGTAGGACTGGTTTTAGCTGAACTGGTTCAGCACTGGAACCATTTTGGTTGACTTTGATGTTGGCTCCTCTTCCAGTGGTTCCTGGCCAATCTGTCCTACCAGGAGGCTCTGTCTGACACACAAGTGGCCATCGTCAACATCCTGTCCTCCACCTCAGGTGACTCTCTCTTCATTTCCTAACCAAGAGGTTTATGGAAGCCCTGATGTCTGACTCCTCCTCCTCAGGCCTCTTTACGCTCATCTTGGCGGCCATCTTCCCGAGTAACAGCAGCGACCGCTTTACGCTGTCCAAGCTGTTAGCCGTAGCTCTCAGGTAAGTAGCACAGAGCAGCTAAATGTTTTAGGAGAATTGACCCCAGATTCGATCCAACTGCTGGTGTTTATAAACCCTGTTAATTCCTAAATCCTGCTTGGCTGCTTGTTTTTGCAGCATGGGGGGTGTTTCTCTGGTGAGTTTGTCCAGCATGGAGAGCCCTGATGACAAAGGAGTTGTAGGTAACCATGAAATCTACTCCCTGCTTCCTTCTGCTCAGTTAAACTTGTTTTCTGAAGATGCTGAACTGAATCTTCTCTGAAGGTTCCCTGTGGTCTCTGGCGGGCGCCATGCTGTACGCCGTCTACATAGTGCTGATCAAGAGAAGGGTGGATCGGGAGGATAGGCTGGACATCCCCATGTTTTTTGGTACGGTGCTTTGGATTCTAACCTTCTTCCTTCCAGTCACCCGTCCAAGGCGCAGAGATGTTTTTAGCAGAGCGCAGCCAGTCTTAGATGATAACTGGATGTGGGTTCAGACAGGTGCAGATCAGTCACTGTTGACGGTTGACGAACCAGCAGCTCCAGGTTCTGTTTGTCATTCAGGATTGTTCAGTTTACCTGCCATGGCATTTATCCTGAGTGAGGAGAGAGTTTCTCCCTCCAGCCCTCTAGGTGGCGGTAATATGTTTAAAGGGAATTTGGCCCATTCCCCGCATGCTGTACATGCTGTACTCTAACTGCTTCTTTCCACTGACGGTTCGAGTGCGTGGGGGCGCACTCCCCATGCGCTCTTCATCCATAGATCTATATGGACTTCAATGAATTGTATTAACCACAATTCACTGCTGCATGTGACATTTAAGCAAAAAAGCAGAAATAAGAAGAAGATTAATAAACATAAAAATCCCTGTAAATCATCCATCATCATCAGTGTTTGTTCTCTAGATGGATGTTCAACTCTTCTGTTTTATTGAACATCTGGAGAATCATTTGAACAAAATGCTTAGTATGTGTATATATGTATAAATATATACATATATATATACATATATGTATGTATATGTAAATATATATATATATAATTTATATATATATATATATATATATATATATATGTATGTATGTATATGTCATATATCTTGATCTTGATCAATCTTTGAATGAGGTCTTGCCTAAAATGTTACATTTTTTTAAGTAAACTTCTGGAAGAGAAACATATTTAAAAGTTAATTAAGTGAAAATTATAAAGCAATAAATTATTAAAAAGCAATATTTATTTATTTAATGCAAGCATCTCAGGTAACACTTAAATGTTTTATTTATTGGTAGAGATCTTTCTATACCTTAGAGGTTTCTGCCTGTGTCACATGTTGACATTAGACCATAAAATGTTCTGGTCAGAATCTTTCTTTAGTTCAGGCTGTCCAGTAGGACTGCCTATTCAGGTCCACCGCAGCATTGCTGCAGCTGTGGACGCACCATATAGTGACATCAGTCACTATATGGCGGTCTGGATTATAACTTCATCTAGCAGAGAAAGGGAACGATGGACAGAAAGTAATGAGTTTTCTGCTCCATCAGACGCTGTAAGCTCTGACTGTCTGCAGGTGAGGCTGAACTAAAGTAGTGTTCCATCTAAAGCTGTTCCTGCGGCTTCTTCAGGTGAGAGTGGCTGTTCCCTCCATGTTCAAGTGATGGAGCTGCTACCTGACCGTCTGCAGAGGGTTCTATGTCCTCACCTGCAGCGCAGCCAGCCTGATGTAATAACAGCTTCATAAACCTCAGAGAGTCTGCGTCAGCAGCTGAACCAGTTAGAAGGAATGGCTGGTGGGGTGATGGTTAGTACTATAGTATTAATACTATAGTATTAATACTATAGTATTAATACTATAGTATTAATACTATAGTATTAATCAGTATTATTTGATTAAAAATAAGAATAAAGCTCCAGTTTCTTTGCAAACATCTTTAAATAATAATATTTGTGGCTGATTCAGGGCCCCCCCCCACCCTGGGCCCTGGACAGCTGGTCCCCTCCCTAACCCCCCCCCCCCCCTATCGGTGGGTGTTCCTATCTCCACCCAGTCGGTTTAACAGAACTTTTTTGTAAACAGTCAGTTTTCTAACTTTCATTGATGTGTTTTCTTCTATTTTCTACGGTTTGTTGTTCTGCTGCGGCTGCCTGCTTCTCCTCCTCAGGGCGATATTCCCTCTAAGCTCCTTTGCAGATCTGGGCATTCATGACATGCATGGGTTAGAAATCCATAAGAGCCCTTTGGGGCCCCAGTAACCGTGGCCCGGGGCCTTCCTACAGGGTGAGGCAGCCGGTAGCTCAGGAGAAAGCCGTGCTGAGCTGCAGCTGTGGTCTGCTCCTCAGGGTTTGTAGGTCTGTTCAACCTGCTGCTGCTGTGGCCCGGCTTCCTCCTGCTCCACTACTCGGGCTTCGAGGCCTTTGAGCTTCCCAGCCAGCTGGTGTGGAGCTACATCCTGATCAACGGCCTGATCGGGACGGTTCTGTCCGAGTTCCTCTGGCTGTGGTGAGTAGCCAGGCTGTGATGTGTGCAGGTCAGAGCCTTGCTGTGGGTTTGCTGATGTTCTCCTCTGTCTTCAGGGGATGTTTTCTGACCTCGTCTCTCATCGGGACTCTGGCTCTGAGCCTCACCATCCCGCTCTCCATCCTGGCAGATATTTGTCTGCAGAAGGTAGATCTTGTGTGTCCAGAGTGAGCTGCTATGGCTCTGCTGCAGACACCAAGCTATTGAAATGGTTCTTTCCCTACAGGTCCATTTCTCCTGGTTGTTCTTCGCTGGAGCCATCCCCGTCTTCCTCTCCTTCTTCATCGCCGCTCTCTTGTGTCACTACAACAACTGGGACCCCGTCCTGCTGGGCCTGAGGAGACTCTACACTTTTGCTTTTAGGAAACATCGCATTCAGAGGTACAGCTGCCCACACGCTAGATTACAGCAGTGTTTCCCAACCAGGGGGACGCGTACCCCTAGAGGTCCACGAGGGTATTGCAAGGGGTGCACGGAAATATTTTATTTCTCACATAGTAAAATAAAAAAGGGCTCTGATCTGTTTTTCTTTATGAAGACACAACAAAAAATTACTTTTCTCAACCTGAAAGGAAGTGTTTCTCTGAGGTCACCTTCAGCTGTGACCCACATCCGAACCAAGCAGAGGAACAGGAACAAACCCGAACAGTCTGGATGCAGAGAACAGCCTGGATGTAGAGAACACACTGGATGTAGAGAACAGCCTGGATGTAGAGAACAGACTGGATGTAGAGAACAGACTGGATGTAGAGAACAGACTGGATGTAGAGAACAGACTGGATGCAGAGAACAGACTGGATGTAGAGAACAGACTGGATGTAGAGAACAGACTGGATGTAGAGAACAGACTGGATGTAGAGAACAGACTGGATGTAGGGAACAGACTGGATGTAGAGAACAGACTGGATGCAGAGAACAGACTGGATGTAGAGAACAGACTGGATGTAGAGAACAGACTGGATGCAGAGAACAGACTGGATGTAGAGAACAGACTGGATGTAGGGAACAGACTGGATGTAGAGAACAGACTGGATGCAGAGAACAGACTGGATGTAGAGAACAGACTGGATGTAGAGAACAGACTGGATGTAGAGAACAGACTGGATGCAGAGAACAGACTGGATGTAGGGAACAGACTGGATGTAGAGAACAGACTGGATGTAGAGAACAGACTGGATGTAGAGAACAGACTGGATGTAGAGAACAGACTGGATGTAGGGAACAGACTGGATGTAGAGAACAGACTGGATGTAGAGAACAGACTGGATGTAGAGAACAGACTGGATGTAGAGAACAGACTGGATGCAGAGAACAGACTGGATGTAGAGAACAGACTGGATGCAGAGAACAGACTGGATGTAGAGAACAGACTGGATGTAGAGAACAGACTGGATGTAGAGAACAGACTGGATGTAGAGAACAGACTGGATGTAGAGAACAGACTGGATGTAGAGAACAGACTGGATGTAGAGAACAGACTGGATGTAGAGAACAGACTGGGTGTAGAGAACAGACTGGATGTAGAGAACAGACTGGATGTAGAGAACAGACTGGATGTAGAGAACAGACTGGATGTAGAGAACAGCCTGGATGTAGAGAACAGTCTGGATGTAGAGAACAGACTGGATGCAGAGAACAGACTGGATGTAGAGAACAGACTGGATGTAGAGAACAGACTGGATGCAGAGAACAGACTGGATGTAGGGAACAGACTGGATGTAGAGAACAGACTGGATGTAGAGAACAGACTGGATGTAGAGAACAGACTGGATGTAGGGAACAGACTGGATGCAGAGAACAGACTGGATGTAGAGAACAGACTGGATGTAGAGAACAGACTGGATGTAGAGAACAGACTGGATGCAGAGAACAGACTGGATGTAGAGAACAGACTGGATGCAGAGAACAGACTGGATGCAGGGAACAGACTGGATGTAGAGAACAGACTGGATGTAGAGAACAGACTGGATGTAGAGAACAGACTGGATGTAAGGAACAGACTGGATGTAGAGAACAGACTGGATGTAGAGAACAGACTGGATGTAGAGAACAGACTGGATGTAGAGAACAGTCTGGATGTAGAGAACAGACTGGATGTAGAGAACAGACTGGATGTAGAGAACAGACTGGATGTAGAGAACAGTCTGGATGCAGAGAACAGACTGGATGTAGAGAACAGACTGGATGTAGAGAACAGACTGGACATAGAGAACACCCTCTATGCAGAGAACAGTCTGGATGTAGAGAACAGACTGGATGTAGAGAACAGACTGGATGTAGAGAACAGACTGGATGCAGAGAACAGACTGGATGTAGAGAACAGACTGGATGTAGAGAACAGACTGGATGCAGAGAACAGACTGGATGTAGAGAACAGACTGGATGTAGAGAACAGACTGGATGCAGAGAACAGACTGGATGTAGAGAACAGACTGGATGTAGAGAACAGACTGGATGTAGAGAACAGACTGGATGCAGAGAACAGACTGGATGTAGGGAACAGACTGGATGTAGAGAACAGACTGGATGCAGAGAACAGACTGGATGTAGAGAACAGACTGGATGTAGAGAACAGACTGGATGTAGAGAACAGACTGGATGTAGAGAACAGACTGGATGTAGAGAACAGACTGGATGTAGAGAACAGACTGGATGTAGAGAACAGACTGGATGTAGAGAACAGACTGGATGTAGAGAACAGACTGGATGTAGGGAACAGACTGGATGTAGAGAACAGACTGGATGTAGAGAACAGACTGGATGTAGGGAACAGACTGGATGTAGAGAACAGACTGGATGTAGAGAACAGACTGGATGTAGAGAACAGACTGGATGTAGAGAACAGACTGGATGTAGAGAACAGACTGGATGTAGAGAACAGACTGGATGTAGAGAACAGACTGGATGTAGAGAACAGACTGGATGTAGAGAACAGTCTGGATGCAGAGAACAGACTGGATGTAGAGAACAGACTGGATGTAGAGAACAGACTGGATGTAGAGAACAGACTGGATGTAGAGAACAGACTGGATGTAGAGAACAGACTGGATGTAGAGAACAGACTGGATGTAGAGAACAGACTGGATGTAGAGAACAGACTGGATGTAGAGAACAGACTGGATGCAGAGAACAGACTGGATGCAGAGAACAGACTGGATGTAGAGAACAGACTGGATGTAGAGAACAGACTGGATGTAGAGAACAGACTGGATGTAGAGAACAGACTGGATGTAGAGAACAGACTGGATGCAGAGAACAGACTGGATGTAGAGAACAGACTGGATGTAGAGAACAGACTGGATGTAGAGAACAGACTGGATGTAGAGAACAGACTGGATGTAGGGAACAGACTGGATGTAGAGAACAGACTGGATGTAGAGAACAGTCTGTGTTGGAGCCGTTTTGCATCTCTTTTATTTTTTTTTTTTATTATTTATTTTTTCTTTTTCCCTGAATTTATTATGAACTTATTCGCATTCTAATTCTCCTGATTTAGTTTTGAATCTTTAGTTGGAAATATGTCTGTTTTTCTTTCTGATTTGTTTATTTGCTCTCTTCCTGTCTGTGGGCGTAACGTTGAGCTGATTTGATTAATAGGTGCTGTCACCTGCCGCTCAGGTAGAGTGGAAGGGACAAACAGTTTTTCAACCGCGTGATGCGGGAGCGCTTTTGTTTTGTACGTTAGTGAAAGAAAAATAAATGCCTCTATTTTTGGAAGACGCGCGTTGGATCTGATCTATATTTCCACTCTGAAGCGGTGGCTCCGAAGTTGCCACTACATTAAGTTGAAAAACTGTCCCGAAGCGTCGGATATTGCCTGATTGTGGATTAACGTTTCCAATTGTGGATTACTTCAAGATGTGTGTGGACTTGACGCTACCTGCAATACGTCTCAGCTGTTGTGTGAGTAACCTGGCGGCTTATTGTTCTTCGACCCAGGTGAGCAAACATTTGGAGAGACTGGAATAGTTTGGATGGCCAATAACGTTAACAGCGCAATCGCTCATCTAACGTGACTGTTGCTGAACTGAATGATTATTGGAAGCGGACACTTTTAATGTCGCTTGACGATGTTAATACGATCAAATAGACTGTTTGTGGACGTTATTTGAACCGCTGACTAAAAGGAAACCAACGGGCCTCCAATAAAAAAGAACTAAGTTTAAGCGCTTGGATGCGCGCAAATGAAACTAAATGAATGCGCGTAATAAACGGAACTGAACTGTTGAATACTGACGTTGTTTTGGAAAGACACGAAACGAATTTAAACGAACTACTTAAAATAAACTGAGATCATGTCTGATGAAGAAGGCCAGAATGAGGTCAGAGGCTTGGAAGAGCAAGGCTATAAAAGCGAGCTGTCTTTCAAAGCGCTCAGCGCAACCCGACGTGGTAAACTTGGACAATGCACTCGCAAAATGAATGAGATCAAAGCTATAATGTGTGAGAATGTTGATGTTGAGGATGTGAAACGGGAAGTGGCTGCGTTCCACACAATATTGAATGATTTTAAGTTCTGTCATGAGTCTACTCAAGCTCTGTTGTCTGATGATGTGAGAGAGAGTGAAAATCTTGATTGGTATGAACCTAGAATGGCTAGATACAATGAATTCCTTGTTAATGTTGATGAATGGTTGAAACAACAAAACATAGATCCACAGACTCTAGTTGATGTGACTGACAGTGCGTCCAGAGTATCTAAGACTGCATCAAAGACTTCCAAAATATCCTCCACAGTTTCATCTATTCGCGTTCAGATAGTAGTTGACAAAGCTGGTTTATTGGCTAAAGCTAAAGTTTTAAAGGAGAAGCACGAAATAGAACTGGAAAAGGTGAAGTTACAAGCAAAATTGGAAACACTTCAATTACAAGAAGATCTTGCTATTTCACACAGTAAATTAAAGGTGTTAGAGGAACTTGATCCAAGCCAAGAAACAAAGCCACAATATGAAACAGAGGATGATATGAATGCATATCTGGAAGGATATTTGCAAAGTCACAAGACCAAAACTGTTGAAGTGAAATCCAGTGAAAGCAGCAGAATTGAGTCTATTCTGTCTCCCCCTCACTTCGTTGAACTAGGAGCAGTACCTAAGACCCCATTACAGAAAACCCTGCGTGAACATCAAATGTCTGAACCACCGGTAACAGCAGCACCCGCAAAACAAAAAATTAAACCAAATTCATCTAAGGTCACCATGACAGATGTACAAACAAGAAAGGAATCTACTCCTGGAAGGGACCAGTCTGAACATTCAAATATTTCAATACAAAGACAGTCAGACCTGACAAATCTGCTTGTTTCAGTTGTATCTCAAACATCACTCCCTAAAAAAGAAGTTCCTGTTTTCAGTGGTGACCCTTTAGAGTTCCAGCTCTTT